ATTCTTCAGCTCTTTTGGCAATGAATTCCATAGTTTGGGGCCACAATATGCAAATGATCTTCCTCCAAAAGTCTCATGTTTAATGACAGGGATGACAAGATCATTGTTGCCGTCAGCTCTTGTTCTCTTCAAAGGTCTCTTTGTAACAATCTCTTCTAAGTAAGAAGGTGCTGACCCATTTATTGACTTGAATGTCAACACTAAAACTTTGTAGTGGATCCGTTGGCGAATCGGAAGCCAGTGTAGTTGTTTTATGATTTCTGTGATGTGATCATGTTTCCCTCGCTCAGCAATTAATCGAGCAGACATTCTCTGTACTCTGGTTAAGTACTTCAGTGCTGCTTCAGGCAGGCCATAGAGAATTGCGTTGCAATAGTCCAGTTTGGATGTTACCATKGWATGGACCATGGCCTTAATATTCCATAATATTCAGTAATGAATGCGTGACTTATTTGGTAAATAAATGGCCTTGGCTGCTCTGTTATCCACACACCGTCTGATTTTGAACATGTTCTTCAGCATAAATATACATTTCTTTGCATCAATGTCAACTCAAGAAGTCGAATAACCTTCGAGATTTCAACTACCTCATCACCAACTTTCAAAGACTGTAGTTCTACAGGGGTACGACGAGGACCATCTAAAGCAATTATTTCTGTCTTGTCATCATTTAACTTAAGCATGTTAGTTGTCATCCATTTCTTGACATCTACAAGGAGATTTTCCATCTTTGACTTGATCGTGGGGACAGTTACCTTTGAGAAGGAAATGTACAGCTGACAATCGTCAGCATAGGCATGGAAACGAACACCATGATTACGTGCAATATCACCAAGYGGAATAAGGTACATAGTGAATAGTTTGGGCCCAAGAACTGAGCCCTGAGGGACATATAGCATAGGTCTTTAGGATCAGAAAGGGTACCATAAATAACGACTCTTAGTTTCCTTCCCTCTATGTAAGATTGGATCCAATGCAGACATCTTCCAGTAATTCCAAAACGATGTGCTAACCTTCTAAGTAACAATGGGTGATCAATCGTATCGAAGGCAGCCGATAGATCCAAAGCAACAAGCAAAACATATTCATTTCTATCAAGTGACAGTGTTATGTCATTGTAGATTTTGCACAAAGCAGTCTCTGTAGAATGGTTTGCTCGATAAGCAGATTGCATCGCTTCATCGAGATTGTTGGAACTTAGATAACTGGTCATCTGCTTAGCCACGATCTTCTCTGTAAGCTTAGACACATAAGATAAGTTAGATATAGGTCTGTAGTTCTTTAGATCCTCCTTATCCAGGTCGGGTTTCTTTAGTATAGGTGTTAAAATGGCCTCTTTAAAACAGGATGGCACAGTGGATGTCAAAGAGTGGTTGACAATATTTGTGATAATTGGTAGAAGTGATGGCAGACATTTCTTCAACAGCCATGTAGGGATGGGATCTAGGCTGCAGCATTTGTTGTTGGACTTAATGAT